TTTCTACTCACTTTTTTTTTACTATTTTCTGATAAAATCTTTTTACAACAGGCATCAAAACAACTTAAAAATCTCAAATAAAGGTCTAATAACGAGAAACATTTCACCTTAAAATTCCAGAAGAAAACACAAAAAGATAGTGAATTCAGTAACACTTTATCTAACTATCAGGTGTCAATARGACCTAAAATGAGCTACAGAGACTCTTCTTCTCAGCACGTAGCTGCAGAGGCTGCAGGAGGATAGGGGAACCTGTCCTCACACTGTGTTAGCAGGGCTTTGCTGTTAGATTACACTTTCCAAGGAATCATCGTTCTTTGTTTTTTCTGACTTTTTCAGGGAATCACTCACCATCCAGAGAATGAAGCAGCTGAAGTTGAAAGTGAGCGATATCAAGCTGAGGGTCCTGCAGCACATGGGCCTGATGGATCTGGACCGAAAAGGTCAAGTCCGCCTGGCGCTGTGACCAGGTTGTGAGAGTCTATTGGGTTTGGCCGCTTCTTCGTTTGTTGCAGACATTTTGGGGTCACAAACTGGCCAACACGTTAGAAACTGCATGCTTCAATCATCCAGCTCTGTGTGCAGTCATCCTGAAACCAAGCAGCTTTAAAATGTCTCTGATCTTTCTGAACTGCAAGTCAAAAACTGCAACATTCCTGCTAACATAAAAACAAAAACATGAGATGTCAGGATCCGTCTGAAGTTTTATTATTTTAAAACATCTGATCCTTCTAGTTTTTAAAGGTTGTTCTGTTCTCCTGCAGCTCTCTAACATTTGATATCTGAAAACAGAAAGTCTTGACTGGATGTTGGAGAGCAGTAATAGGTTGACCTGTTGTTTGCTGATTTCTGTTGCACTTATTCACCTTAATTTAATAAACGTTTTGTTGTCTATTATTTAATGTCTCAGAGGTGACATTTCTTTCATGAAATGTTATCAATTTATTTCTATTGATTCATTATTTTAAACTTTCAAACCCTTTCACAATGAATAGTTTCATTTAAGAAGAATTTTAAAGCTAATCTTGTTACTTAAAAAGATTTTATGTATTCTTTTGCAATCTTTAGTTTGTAGATAACTTTTAGATGCTGCTTACTCTTTGCTACTTTAGCTTTTTGCTATTCATCAACTAACTAAAAGCTAGAAGAAGGAAGAGGCAAGCTAAAAGCATAAGGTTGCAAAATGCTAGCCAAATGCTTATTTGTAGAATGCTTGCTAAGACGATAAGGTAGCTAAAAGTATCAAAAGGCTAGCTACAAGTAGTGAAAGGCTAACTAAAAGTACTAGGTTACCTAAAATTTTTAAATGCCTACCTTGAAACTAAAAGTTGCGAGGCTACCTTAAAACTGAAAACAAAATACTAGGTAAAAGTAGCAAAAGGCTAGCTAAAACAATTTATAGGCCACAAATGCAAAAATCACAAAGAGCTAAAGAGAGAAAAATGCTAACCAGATGCTAGAAGTTACAAAATCCTAGCTAAAACAGCTAAAGGTTAGCTAAAAGTAAACATAAAAATATTGTTACACAGACCAAAACTTAAAGCACAGTGGTGGGCAGCACTAATCTAAATATTAGTTGCACCAACCCTAAAGCACTAACTCAAATATTTAGGTCCCCTGTTTCTAAAGCACTAACTCAAATATTTAGGTCCCCTAATTCTAAAGCACTAACTRAWATATTTAGGTCCCCTAATTCTAAAGCACTAACTCACTGAAAATTTTAGCAAAAGCTGATTCTAAAGCACTAATTTAATCCAGTTGACACATGAAACATTCATCAGTCAACATGAGACAATATTTACTGTGTGCAGAATATCGTCACTTAGTGCCCTTGGTGGGCCAAATGGGAGTTACCTGCAGGCCATATTTGGCCTGCGGGCCTTGAGTTTGACACGTGACCTTGTAGATATGTGACACACAGGGTTGCCAGATTGGACTGACAGTTTCCAGCCCAAATGCAATGTAAAGCCCGCCCAACCAATAATAATAATAATAATAATAATAATAATAAAATAGTCCAAGACGTACAGTGGGGAAAATAAGTATTTAGTCAGTCACCAATTGTGCAAGTTCTCCCACTTAAAAAGATGAGAGAGGCCTGTAATTGACATCATAGGTAGACCTCAACTATGAGAGACAAAATGTGAAAAAAAATTGAGAAAATCATTTTGTCTGACTTTTAAAGAATTTTTTTGCAAATAATGGTGGAAAATAAGTATTTAGTCAGTCACCAATTGTGCAAGTTCTCCCACTTAAAAAGATGAGAGAGGCCTGTAATTGACATCATAGGTAGACCTCAACCATGAGAGACAAAATGTGAAAAAAAATTGAGAAAATCATTTTGTCTGACTTTTAAAGAATTGTTTTGCAAATAATGGTGGGGTCGTGGGGTCAAAATGATCACAAGAACGGTGAGGAAAAATCCCAGAACCACAAGGGGGGATCTAGTGAATGACCTGCAG